CATCATCACTAAAGGCCTCATTAAGCCTGTTTTATGCTTCTGCGTCGAATCGACGGCGTGCCCCCGCAGACCTCTCTGCGTCGCCAAGAACCCCTCTCCGACCCCTCCGCCGTAGCTCGACGTGCACCTCCAAAAAATTGTAACTACGCGTCGAGGCGACGCAGACCACAAGGGCTGTGATTGGTCAGATACATCATTTCGGGAGTGAAGCTTTTCCGGTTTCCCCCTCCCGCTATACCGCCATTTTAAAGTGACCACTGCACTGTTTGTTTTAACGATATCAAGTTGAGGAACGTTTGATTCTTCTGCGATTAAACATTTGCAATAAAATCATTTGTTGTTCAGCGTCGATTAGCTCCAGCTGCAACAACATTCTCTCTCTTTCGCTCTCCATTAGGCGCGTTTCCATTACAGATTTGCGCAAAACTTTTGCGATTTGTTTCTATATGTAGATAAAAAACTATTGCGAAATGACGGCGTTAACCGATGTTATCCGACTAAAACGTCTTTTTTTTCCTCTCGCCATAAGCCATTCCAAAAATCATGGTAACGGACGTTGGTTTAACGTTATAGCCTATATCAACTTTTATTCAAGACACAGAGGTCCATAGAGACAACACTGTACAGATATAAATGTAAAAACAATTAAGAATGATGCGGATGAGGCATCATTTAACATATACAGGCTTCGGGTCCAATGTTTCCAAAAGCAAGATGTAGCCTATAACGTTACCTTGTGTCACTAGCCACCGCACTAGACATTATTAATTAATTGATGGCAGGGAAAGACACGGAGTTCTCCCTCATTTCTGCTCCGAGGTCTTGATTGTGGCATTTCTTTGAGGTTTAGAGTCCAGTAGGCTATTCCTGTAATTATTGTTTCTTTTATGAATTTAATAAAGAACTCTGTCTCGTATTAATTCCAAACGGTCAGTGTAGCCTACTTTTGTGTCCATTCGTTTTCCCTTATTTATCCCGTAATTGCAAAACGAAAAATGAACGGTTGTTGTATTTTTAAAACGCAAAGTTAAACACCAACATTTTAATTTGAACTGTACACCAAATGCTGCGCAAAAAAAAAAAAAAAAAAAAAAAAAAATCGACGAATTTTAAGATAGCCTATTTGTTTATGATTTTTTGCTCCTTTATCATTTTGCTATTTAACATTTAAAATATTCACAAATTAATGTGGAAAAAATGTAGATTTTACTGGTTTTCTAAGGCCAAATTAGAACCTGGAAATTATATTTTTCCTCGCAGTGCTGAATGAGAAGACCATAACCACAGCCTACAGAAAGGTGATTTATAGGTGAGTTATAGGCTATAATAAATGTGTCTGAAAAAATAACGAGGCATTTTAATTGTTTATTAATAAACTATTGTTTAATAAATCAATGTCGGCTAAAAACATATCTCCATCTCCGGATGCACCTTTAGAGAGAAATGCACCTTTCATACGGATTACATAATCAGAAGGTAGGCCTATTAGCTTTCGATTCGAATTTGTTCGTTTTAAAGTGGACATTTCAAGCTTTACCCTATGCTTTATTTTGTTTCAGTTCTCGCGCTTCAGTTCACGGAGACCATGAAAGCGCGCCTGATTGTTTTATTTTATTTTACAAAACCACAACACTTTCTTGTTATTGTGAGTTTACGCAAATAAAAGTAGTTGCGAATAATGTATTATTATTTTCTGTATGACCAGAAATGATAGAGTATTTTAAGTTGTTTCCACTGTTGATAGGAAAATGCAAGTGTTCGCGCCAGCGCGCCTATCCCTGCCATCCAGTGCGCGCTCCGCACAAACACTTGGATATGCGTCAAAATCTTGTGTTTATTTCTGATAATCTTAGCCCCGTATTATTATTGTCCAACCTGTATTTTGAATGAGATGTGACGAATTGCTTTGTTCCTTTTTTGGATAAAAGCGTCTTCTATATATGTAGCCTAATAAATGTTATAATAATGATGATAATTATTATTATTATTTGCGGACACGGACCCCAAACACACCGCGTCTTCTAAGTCAGGTGACTGTAAATGCGCAAAACCTTCCATTGCAGTTTTGCTAAATATTCCTTTTTCGAATTGCCTGAAAAACCTCCTCATGCGAGCGTAAAATCTTTTTTGCGATAAACGGGAGTTTATGCGAAATGGACGTGGTTCCATTGTGCGTTTTCAATTCGCAATTTCAATTTGCGCAATTTGAAGGGTAATGGAAACGAAAGCGGAACCGGCGCACGGAACCAAAACAAACTAGCAAAGAGATTCGCGAAGCACACACCCCCCTAGCGTTCTGGCGTGAAATGCACCGCGATGCAACGCAACATGACGCAGAACCATAAAACGGCCACGACGCCGTAGGAGTGACGGCGTAGCTACGCCGTGGAGTTGACGCAGAAGCATAATGAGGCCATAATGAATTGCGAATCATAACGCATAGTCGGACAGGACAGGACACACAAGGAACAACACAAGCCAGTCAGTCAACGAGAGACAGGTATGGCGACGAGCTTAACAAGCTTAATTTAATTTTGCCCAGTTGTGGCCTGTTGAGGGGCAATAAATATCAAAAGTTCCAAAACATCTAATGTGTTATTTGCATTGATCCACTATATAAACATATTTATCTACATACATGGCATTTGATTGGAGGCTAGTCTCACTTTGTCCTACAGCAACATTTTTTTTTTTAGATGTGTGTACAATGTTTAATGTTTCTGTTAATAATGTATTGTATTAAGTGTCCATTTCATTATAATATTCAGATTTATCATAAATAATTGAACATGCACATGTATTTTAAGTTCCGTTAAAGAGGGGTAGAGGTGGGGTCACATTTGAGCATTTAAAATTTAATTTTACTTGAAAGTAACACAATAGTTACTTTCTTAAGTAACTAGTTACTTTTAAAATTTGTAACTGAGTAACTAATTTAGTTACTTTTTGGAAGAAGTAACTAGTAACTGTAACTAATTACTTTTTTAAAGTAACTTGCCCAACACTGATTGTATGTGTACTTTAGTGATAGACAAAAGCACGGTTTGGAAAATGGATTCTTTATGTACTCTCTTATAATATCATTTTTGAACCAAAAAAGTATCGGACTGCAGCTATAAGATTAATTTGGTCAGCTCTTAGCAATATATTTTCAGAAATGTAAGTTTACTAATCAGAAACTCAATTTTATGATTTTGTTGGCTGTATGTAAACAGTATTAGAGACTTTCTAAATAAGAAGGCTATCAAGACTTCAAAAGCTTATGGAGCTTTACAAAGCATTAATTTGATATCTTTATACCTTTGATTTCTTTATACCTGCATGCATGTACCTAATGATATTTGCAAATTGATGACCTCAAAGCTAATATATTGGGTAAAACCCACAAAACAGGTCATATGTAAACTTTTTCTCCCTGTTCATTTTTCAGATAGGCAGTTATGAATCATTACTTTAATTAGTTTTTTTATTAACATATGTAAGGTTACAGGACATCAGGAGACATCAGTCCCCTTGTTGCAAAATGTAGAACTGACATCTCAAACCCTTTGATAATGTTGCATTCAATATTACTTCATGTTCTGTGTCTACATGATATATGAATATGATACTGATGATGTCATTATTTGAGTTTGAGTGACAGAGAGTTCAGATGTGGTTAAGGTGCGTCCTCTGCTGGCTACAGACTGAAGTTACAACATATACAACTATTCTCCATCAATATATACAAATCACAAATTCGATATCTTAATATATCAGCTGATTTCTTATACAGCAAATAAATTAAGGCTGAAGTCTCCATGCATCTCAAAACTTTTCCCTAACAAAAAGTCCCCAAGTAATTAATTTCAGGTCTCCTCTTGAGTTTCAAAAGAGAGCTCAACAATTGTTCAGAATCTGCAATCAAAAGTGAGAGATTCAGTTAATTATTACCAATTAACTGAAGATTTAAATGATCTGATTCTGAGTTATGTTCTCATTCATCTATCACCCTATAGCCCAAGACTGGTTTCCCACTGCAGCTTAGCAGGGTTGAGCCTGGTCAGTACCTGGATGGGAGACTCCTGGAAAAACTAGGTTGCTAAAGAGGTGTTAGTTAGGTTGCAGGGGTTGCAGTGGGTTCTCTCCCTGTGGTCTGTGTGGGTCCTAACGCCCAGTACAGTGAGACACATTCTGTCTATACACTACAGATGAGACGTTAAACCGAGGTCCTGACTCTATGTGGACATTAAAAATCCCAGGATGTCCTTCGAAAAAAAAGTAGGGGTGCAACCCCAGCATCCTGGCCAAATTTGCCCATTGTCCTCTGTCCTCCTAATCATCCATATATATATATTGATTGGCTTCATCACTCAGTCTCCTCTCCACCAGTAAGCTGGTGTGTGGTGGGAGTTCTGGCCCACTGGCTGCTGTTGCATCATCCAGGTGGATGTTGCACAATGTTGGTGGTTGAGGAGATTCCCACCTTCTATGTAAGGAGCTCTGAGTTCCCATGAAAAGCGCTATAAATGTAACTAATTATTATCATCATCATCATCATCATAGCTCTATCTATAGTATTCCTATATATGTCAACAATTGACTCCATTAGTGTCTATTTTTCCTGTAAAGAAATTTATGAGGAACAAAATAACATCCTGAATAGCTCCATTAAGTATCTTGAGCTATGAAAGAGGAATCTCTGAACAATAAAATTTTCTTCTGGAATTTGATCTTGGTTATCATGTGAGGCATTATATTATATTATATTATTATATTCCTCAGAATTGTAATAATATTATATTAATACATGTCCTCAAAATTAATAGAATATAATATGATGTAATGACTGTAATGTAATGTAATACAATATAATATAGGCTAATAACTTTTCACTTTTGCCTACAATGCTGCAAGACCTCAATGTTTTATTCTCTCCATATGGCGGCGACATTACTGCAGAAATCACACTCTTCCACTCACCATCATCATCTACTGCTGGCCTGTCTGTATGAGTGTTTGGGTGTGTGTGTGGATGGAGGAGGCAGAGCCAAACACACACACAGACCAGGACCACACCGACCGGTCTGTCTCCTTAAGATGCTGGAATAACGGCGAGAAACGAACATCTTTAGATTGTTAACCGTGACCAGCTCACTTACTGTCACCAAAATGTCTGGAAAAATAGACAGTAAGCAAGGTTAGTGTTTACATTTGTTTACATTTATTAATAATGTGTAGATGAACTTCAGTTAGCCGCGTTAGCATTAGCGCCAGACGAGGGTTCAAGGCCACTGACAGGATCAGTGCATCTTATCTTTATCTTATTTTTAATAGCCAAATACGTCATATAAATGACCTGTATTATATATTTAGGTCATTAAATACATTTATAAAAGGATGTGGTATAAATGTCTCTACGAGTTCGTCTCAGACAGCTGTATTTGGGTGTGGACGGAGCTGCTCAGCGCTGTTGTTTACTTTAGCTAGCTATCAGACTTCTCGTTTTCATATTTATCATATTTGCTGTTTATTTATAAGATGTAGTTTGTGTTATGTAGCATTGGTTATCTATGTAGAGTTTTTGTTACAGTTGTTTTTGTGTTGCTGCCTGGCCTTTTCTGTCAGTTTTTTTGTCTTGTAGTTAATGGTCTGTTGTGCACAAAATTGACTAGTCTGTATATTTAAGTAAGTTATACTGATTAATATTTAAAAGAAAAATCTGAACTTTTATCAGACGAAATTTCTCATTTATGTTGTATAAAAGCTCCTATAGTTTATACGATCTTGTGGCAAATGACAGTCTGATAGATAGACAGACAGACAGTTTATAGGCTATACATTCACACAGCTAGATAGAGAGCGATATTCCCTCTGGTTATTAGATTCTATCCTGATAACTAGAGTATTTTTACTCTTTTTTTTTTTTTTGTGTGTGTGACTGTTTTGATGAATATTGTTACGCAGACAGGTAACAACCACTGTCACTTCCTTTTTGCAGAAGTTTTAGAGAAGTTTGAGTTATTTACTATGGCAGTTCCATAATATTCAATAGACATTTTCGAATGTCTTGTTATACATGATTCACAATATGCACTGAGATATATTGAAATACATAATTCCATTGCATCAACGCTCTTATATTTTATGCATTTATCTGTGGTTTGCATGACATCTACGTGTTTGTTTTTTTGTGCATGGGGAATAATTGTAATTTACTTTTATGGGCTATATCCATTGTCACTTCCTTAATAACCTGGTTTGGAAAGATTTATATCACTCATGTTAGGCTTGCTAGATTAGATAGTGGTGCGTAAACTGTTCTGTTAAACGCAAGTTTAATATTTTTTACCCTGTTGCATTCAGTGACTGAATGTTTTTATGAATAAGGCAATATATCTGTTAACTAGCCTGTGAGGTTGCAGCATTGTCACTTCCTTTCTGTGAGGGTTCAGAGAAATTTGAATCACTTGTGGGTAAGTGGTGCTCTTCTTGTCAGAAGTTCAGTTGTTCATCTCTAAATGGCCCACTAATGTAGACTCTGGTTTGCGTAGGAGGATGTTGGCCAATGTCTTCTGGTTTCAGACATAGGCTAGCCCTATCTCTTGAACTGTACTTGTTTTAGCAGGTAGAGATGTTTGCATTATTTTGTTTCAGTAAGAATCAGAAACTGAAACGGGAAGTTTCATGCTCCTTTATCAGGTCATGCTGACAATATTTTCATCTTCATCTTTCTTTTTTTATCATTTAAATATAGAACTGTTGTGAATTGCAACTTTGCACAAATCTGTTTAGAGTGATTGCTTTGTAAGATAAAACCAAAAAGACCAAACCAAAATCAATGCAAAGATTACAATACAAATTTAACCTGTCTAAAAACAGGTTTTACAAGAAAATTTTACCGTAATGAAGCTTTGTGCATTGATATTTCGGTAACACTTTACAATAATCATATTTACTAACATGAACTAACAATGAGCAATACATTTGTTACAGTATCTATTAATCTTTGTTAATGTTAGTTAATAAAAATACAGCTGTTCATTGTTTGTTCATGTTAGTTCACCTGGGTAACACCTGGGATGTATTTTAGTGAACTTTTTTTTCACCTGGGATTACACATATAAGGACCCGACTCAGGTCTGGTTTGTCAGTTTGTTTTGGGTTGTGTTTCACTATGAGCCTCGGGTGGTTCCCTAGGCTCTAGTCCAGACAGAGTCAGTTGCTAATAGTGCAGCGTTTTACATTGCGTCCCCACTGCGTATTTGCTACGCAATAAGAAGTGACCGTTCTCGAAAGGGAACGTACTCGGTTACTAACGTATGGTCATGTCATACTTCCAAAAAGAATAATCTGTGATTCTGAATGCCAGTATCCACAATGGCGCGGTGACTGACAGCCTCACAGTCTCCTCAAACATTGTGTTCATCCACGCTGTGCCGTGTCGAGGGTGTTGAAGTACAACTCACGTAAAGTTGATAATTCCGCGAATGACTGCAATTGCAGATTTCGAACAGAGATGGCGACAAAAAGGAAAAACTGCGTACTGCAGCTTTAAGTAACATTTAATTAGACATTATTAAAAAGTGCATTTGTAAAAAGTGCACTTAAGTGTGTTAAGAAATATTGTGATGAAAGTGTACTTTCTTTAAGTTAAGCTTAATTAGACATTATTACAAAGTGCATTTTTAAAAGTGCACTTAAGTGTGTTTATAAATATTGTGATGAAAGTCTACTTACTTTAAGTTAAGTAAATATTGTCATTAAAGTGTATTCCCTTTAAGTACACTTAAGTGGTCTTTAATTTTAATTATATTATATTATCTGCAAGTGCACTTTTCAAAAAGTATACTTTTATGATTTTAAGCACACAAAAAGTACGCTTTCAATACAATTAAGCACACTTCTTATTCACAAGGGTAACCTCGGTACCCTGAGAGTAGGGAACGAGTATTGCGTAGCCTGCCGCACTATTTCAGGCAATTGGGGGGACGTGGAGGCATAAAGTCCGATAAAGTCGAGGGAGAAGCCCATAGAGAGTCATAAAGTTGATCTTGCTGCTAGCTCATGGACAGCTAATACTCACTCTCTCCGTCTCAGTACATTAACTAATGTTAACTAATACAACCTTTGATTTTAATAACGTATTAGTAAATGTCGAAATTAATAATAACTAAGATTAATAAATGCTGAAGAAGTATTGCTCATTCTTAGTTCAAACTAAGGTAGTTAACTAATGTTAACTAATGAACCATATTGTAAAGTGTTACCGATATTTCAAACCCAGCCTCCGTGTTTGGTAGTTGAAACTTCAGGTTAAGATGTGGCCAGAGTTTGAGGACGGTTCTTTCTGCGTAAAAGAAAAAAAAAGCATGTTCAGAGGTTGTGGTCGACTACTCTGTTTCAGAAGAGGATATGCCGAAAAAGAGGATATGAATTAGTAGATGGCACTTCTCACTACGTGAGGAGGAAGAAGCAGATGGAAAGATCACATCCTCTAAAGGCTTAAGCTCATCTTATTGGTTTGCCTTGTTTTTATTAGCAGAGCACCGCATTTTCTTAGACAGTCATTCCGCAAGTTGGCTCTCATGTTACTGTGAGATGAGACAGATAAGACTAACATCCTTCTGGGTAATTCCAGTCCTGCTCAATTTTAAACTCATTAATTATCTTTCAGTAACCGTTTCAGATTCTTTTCCTGCTGTTATCTCTTTTTGTTTTTGGGTGATAGAGGTCAGATTGCCAATAACAAATGTAATTGTTAATTTACAATCTTTTTATTTAAGGAAAACAGTCCTAAAATAAAATAGTTTGATGACTAATCCAGCTCCAAATTTTTTATTAAGGAATGAGAATGTCCTTTTCGCTCAAGCCAGCTGCATCTGACTAGCAATAGTAATTCGTACATTGCTGAGATGTAGGCTACTAAACTAAAGCCTATTGGATAATTGTTAAAGGGTTAGTTAACCCAAAAATGAAAATTCTGTCTTTAATTACTCACCATCATGTCGTTACAAACCCGTAAGGCTTTTGTTAATCTTTGGAACACAAATTAAGATCTTTTCCTCCATTGACAGAGCACAACTACCAATTTGACGCTTCAAAAACTTCATAAAGACGTCGTAAAACGAATCCATAAGAATTGAGCGGTTTAGTCCTAATTTTCTGAAGAGACTCAATCGTTTTTTATGATGAAAATTTAACAGATTTAATTTAGGCTTTTATTCACATTTAAACATTGATCAACTCACACATCAGTTGTGGTAAACGGAAGCTCAAACGTGTTCGCTTGTGTGAGAACCAATGAGGTTCATTCTCGTGTTACGCAGCACAACTGAGCTTCAGCAAGAACCAATGAGGTTTGTTCTTGCGTGTCTAGAAGGTTCGGTTGAGCTTCTGTTTATGTTCACTGATCAATGTTTAAATGCGAATAAAAAACTCAAATAAATCTGTTCATCATATGGCGATCGAGTCTCTTCCGAAAATTTGGACTAAACCGCTCAGTTCATATGGATTAGTTTTACAATCTCTTTATGAACTTTTTGAATTGTCAGTTGTGTAGCTGTCAGTGGAGGGACAGAAAGCTCTCAGATTTCATCAAAAAAGATCTTAATTTGTGTTCCGAAGATTAACAAAAGTCTGACGGGTTTGGAACGATATGAAGGTGAGTAATTGATGACCGAGTTTTCATTTTTGGGTGAACTAGCTATCCCTTTAAAAGTGGCAAACTGTTTGATCCTGTCTTTTCAATAGAAAGAAAAGCTTCTATCTTTGAAATGTGGTTGTCTTCCTTACGCCTCCTAAATACTTGGGAGATAATCTACTCTACTTTCAAAGCTAGTATCCACATGAGTCGAACATCCTGACAAAACTCCTTTAAACTCACTTGTCGGACTCTTTCTGGCTTTGACAAAAAAGAATCTGTGTCGTATGGTTTGAAACTTCACAGAGCGCTAGCAAACCCTGAGCGCTTCATTCCTCTAATGTGTGTGAGGATAAATTGCCCCTAAATGGCTTTGTGCCCTGCACAATAGTGTCATCACCAGAATTCGTTCCAGAGCGACGCGCTCTAAGAGAGCGGTAAGACCCACTGTGACAAATTCAGTTTGTATAGTCAAAGAGGATTTCACTGTACACAAAACCCAAAAGTCAAAAGTCTCCTCTCGCATGAATTCGCAAGGTACAGAATATGGTTAATGTCTCATAGCAGAGCCGTATTGGACCTGAAAGCTACTAAAACTATTAAAAATAGTTTTTGTTAATTGAAATAAAGCTAAAATAAAATATAAATTGGCAACTAAATAACATAAGCATAGTTGAAGTACCGGTACCTAAATAAAGTAATAAAAATAAATTAAAGCTAATGTGATTTTTTTTTAAACTAATAAAACATAACACATAACAGAATGACTAAAACTTAAGTTAAATTAAAAGGTAAAATCTAATTCAAAATATTAATATATTATAATATAATATTATTATATTATATAATATCATAACATAATACTATAATAATAACATTGCTTTTGTCTGGGCGACATCGTGTAGCGTGAAATGTCACTTTATATTATGATAAAGGTGTGAAACAATATATATTTATTACATTTTTTTTTTAAATGGTTTATATTTTAATAACCATGAGGAAATGCACAAATCTTACTCATAATAATGGTTTTGTTTTTCTTCAGAATCCCAGCGTTCCCACTTAACATCCTTTACAATGAAACTAAAGGACAAATTCCATTCTCCCAAAATCAAGAGAACGCCATCAAACAAAAAGTCCAAACCACCACCAGAGCAACCCGTGAAGTCCCCAGAAAAGACTGTGACCAAGGTACGAAGAAAAGTTACTACCGTCATAGTGTTTCTGGATGTTCACTATATAAACAAAGCTTTTTTTCTGAAAACACAGGCAGTTTGAAAGCAAATAAGCACATTGATGGTTTTGTCGACATTCTTTTCCACGTTTAGAGTCTGAGTCGATTAGAGGAGCATGAGAAAGAAGTGGTCAGCGCCTTGCGGTATTTCAAGACTATTATCGACAAGATGGTGGTGGACAAGAAGGTCTTGGAAATGCTTCCTGGTTCTGCTAGCAAAGTTTTGGAGGCCATCATGAGCTTGGTACAACTTGATGGCAAGACACTGAGCAGGTAAAAATGTTTTTAAGCATCTTGAGAGGAATAGATTATTGTTCAGCTTTAAAAAAAAACATTATTTTTCTACAGTCATACATATTCATTTTTATTTTACTTCCCCCTCCGTCCATCTGCAGTTCAAGAGTGTCCTCCTGTCTCAATCGACTCTATCAAAGTCTTGCAAACCTGATTCGCTGGTCGGACCAAGTGATGCTGGAAGGGGTGAATTTGGAAGATAAAGAAATAGTTGCAACTGTCACCACTGTGATCAAAGCAGTGCTGGATGGTGTGAAGGTATTAATGTTCAATAGAACTCTGTCAGGGCTTGTTTTGCAGTCTGTTGACATCTCCATCTATTCTCCACCCATATTCCAGCTGTATTTAGCCATGGGGTTTGTTCTTAGTTGATAGTATTGTGTGTAAAGATGACTTTGCCTGTGGTTTCCTGTAGGAGCTGGTTAAAGTCGCCATTGAGAAGCAGGAGCACCCCTCCCCTACGACACCCGTCAAAACCCTGCCTCCTGTCACCAGTCCAAAGCGGTAAATTAAGAGCTTTTTGTGAAAGAACATGCCTTATGAAATTCTTTAAAAGTGAGGTGGCTGATGTTGAAACATGTCATTTGTTTTTACCACTTTATTATGGCAGTGTTCCAGAGCTCCCCATCACTGAATCGAAGGAAACCGTCTTGAATGAGACCCCTACCCCAGCCGAGGCCACAGAGACCCCAAATGATGTCCCTGATGAGGAGATGGCCCCTCCTAAACCCCCTCTACCTGGACTCAAAGTGCCTGAACATTGGTATGAAAGCTTTGCTTAGTCAAACCTTAATCTTCGTGGCCTGAGAAATGCGTTCAGCTCTGTGTCCGGCACTATCCACAAACATGGTTAATTTTATAAGCAATAAAGACACAATTCTTGTGTTTTCAGTTGTGTTGGTAAAAGCGTTGAATATGTTATTATTATTAATATCATTATAACCACTGAGATATATTATATATATATTAATGGGTCATATATATGGGTCAAAACACAATGCGGGTCTCGGCTTGTTGGTAAAATGAACAATTAATCAGTATCACAGACAGAACACCAGTACTATCTGGAAGTTAAACTTTTTTTGATTTTGAAGAATTGTCATATAAATTCTTAAAAAAAAAAAAAAGCTGAACTTGCAGATAGTACTGGTGTTCTGTCTGTAATACTGGTTAATTGTATTCAATCATTGGTTTATCACAACCAATGACATCCAACCAACATTCTGCCCTAAACTAGCTGGCTCCTACTAAACTTACTGAGCAAAATCTGAAACCTTGTTACACATTTGTTTTAAATTTATTATAAAAATATTAGCTTTTTTATGTTTAAAATAGAAATAGAAATTTAATTTATTTATTTTTTGTTTTTGCATTTAATACATTTTTTATTTAAAATGTATCACTAAAGTATTATAACATCACACATCTGGGTTCCCAAATTTTAGGATTGAAAAATTGCAAACCCTGTTGAAAATGAATAGAAAATACAACAGAATAGGTCAGGCCCTTTTGTGTGCTCTATCATAGAGCTAAAGCTAGAGTGAAACAAACATAAGTGTGATTATATGAAAGGTGGTACTGCACAAGGCGAGCAGTTTATAAGAGGAAATGGGCTGTGTTATCTTAACGTGCCATCTTATCTGGATTACATGCTGTAAACATCTAGGTACCACAGGTGATGTGGTTTGCAACAGCATGTTGTGTATGTGTTAAGCGCTGGGTTTAGCTACAGATGATTGCACAGACCCATCACGGTTTGCGGGAAGCCTAAAAGAAAAGGTGTGAAAGAGAGATATAAATAGTGGCATTCTTGAGAATTCAGGTCTTTGTATGGTGCAGCAGTAAAGCCTCGGCTTCCTCTAGCAGAAAGTCATTGACATATGGGCTGTTTTCTGAGAAATGATCTTAACAGTGTCAGCTCTCCTCTGTCGACTGAAAGAGACAAGAAAGAGAGGGTGCAAGAAGGGATATTCTGATACCAAGTCTAGACAGTAGAGGATTAAGTTGTGCTGCTGGCAATAAAGAGAGTTCGCTTTGTTCTCTGAATTATTTGCTGGCATTTCCATCTTTTTGGCAGGTTTCCAGCCTTCCAACAAGTCTGTGTCTCCGATAGATGAGCTTTTTGTTGGAGATGCCAAGTGTAGCCTACCAACTGGTCTGTTCACTGAACAGCCTGGTGTTTTTTGTCTATAATTTAAAGTCAGCTTGGTATTTAAAAGGGTTAATTCACACAAAATTTACTCATCCTCATGCCGTTCCAAACCTTTATTACCTTCTCTCTGCTGTGGTACACAAAAACAGATGTTTAGCAGAATGTTTTCCCCCATAAAATGTTAATTGTTAAAGGGTTAGTTACCTCTTTCAAGCCCCAGAAAGGTAGTAAAGACATTAAAGTAATCCATGTGACATCATTAAAGTAATCCATTGATTCTGGATTACTTTTATGATGTCTTTACTACTTTTCTGGGCCTTGAAAGCGGTAGTTGCATAGGCTGCCAATGGAGGAAAGCTCTCAGATTTCATTTAAAATATCTTAATTTGTGTTCAGAAGATAAACGAAATTCTCACCGGTTTGGAATGACATGAGGGTGGGAATTAATGACATAATTTTCATTTATGGCTGAACTTACCCTTTAATATTAATAAGACAGCAAAGAACTATAGTTTGTTCACTTGAATTATTAATGGGAAATCTAGATGCAATGTTTACTTCATTGAGAAATACCATGTAATTAATTGAATTTGATAATATTTATATTAATGTTTAATAACAACTTTAATAACTTATATAAAGAAAATTGTTTTCACTAGCATATTAGTAGCTATTGAATATTACTGTGGTATTGGAATTGACTACTATTAGACAAATATTAAATGCTTTTTTATTTTAAATAATATAAATACAAATATTAAATGCGTTTTTCTCTGATTATTTTTTACTAATGTAGATAACTAATATTAATAAATGAAACCTTATTCTTTCATGACTGCAAGCAACGTCTCTGATGAAGTTGTTCATGCATAGTTCAGCAACCTGATTAATAATGAAATTCGCTATTGTGTGTTTTCAGTTCTCGTTGCAGCCCTAATATCCCAGAAGCACAGTTAGCTCACTGAAACGGCATGTAGATGCTTTCATGGCCAACAGACACTCGGCTCCCAGCCGAGGTGTCTCATCCCTTTACCAGCAGCCCTGTGTTAGTTTACATCAGTCAGACTGTTCAAATAAATGACCATGTTAGGACTACGACAGATCTTCCAGGTGTTTTATAGTTTCCTTTCATAGCGAGAACCTTATTTAATCCCCTTTCAAGCCTCTCGTCTGGTGAAACAATTTAATACTTTAATAAAATCTGTCTGACCTGGCATGTTAAGACTGGTTAATCAGCAGATAATCCCTATTTGTAAATGTCAGCCAGACATACTCTACACATTCACTATGAGTCAGTTCTTCTGCTAGTTGCTCTTCTGTATTACATCACTGTTAGCAGCTGTTTTAGGGCGACAGAGGACTAGCCAGACTGACTGAATAGCTGATTTATAAAGTTGTGGTTTGTGGTTCCAGAGCTGGATTCCACTGTCGCTTTGCAAAAATGTTCCTGGTTGCTTGAGATTGGTTGCAGGCTTTCATAGCCCAGAATGTGTCTGTAGGTTTCTTGATTGACAGCTTGTATGAGACTTTTCAATATGACTAGTTAATCTGTTTGACACTAGCATTGGCTAAACAAACTCTCCCTTTGCAGTCCACCGGCTCTCCCCCCAAAGAAGCGTCAGTCGGCACCGTCTCCCACGAGGATCGCTGTGGTTGCGCCAATGAGTCGTACCACAAGTGGATCAAGTCTTCCTATTGGTATCTTTCGACAGGTGAGATTTTGGTGTTCCCTTGGTGCTCCAACCTACTGGGACACTGGTGAAAGTGTCCCAAATTTGTTCTTTAGTAACCACTCAGAATTAATCTGAAGTTTTGTGCAATGAATGATCACTCAGTTGTCAGTAGCAAGGACAACTTTTAAAGGAATAGTTCTCCAAAAAAAATTACAGTTCTGTCATTTACTCATCCTAATGCCATTCGTGGAGCACAAAAAAAAAATGTCAAAGGACATTTCAACTGTTTTTGCCAATAAAATTAAAGTCATTGGGGTCTAAAACAACATTGCACTTAAATGATTTTTATTGTATGGATAAAAAATAAAAAAAATCAATGGTTTATCAATAATTATCAATTTATTATTATAAATAATTTATAATAAAACATTTTTTATTATTGTATTTATTATTTTCTATTTAATTTTAGTTTTTCACTAAAACAGTAGAAAATCACAAATTTAAATGTCATTGAGACGTCTCAATTTTTTTTTTTTTTTTTTTTATCTAATAGAAAATCAATGCAATGAAAGGTCACTTGGTTGTCAGTAGCTTGGATGACTCCCTACCCAAAAATGAAATTTGTCATTTACTTGCCCTAATAATCTGTAAAACAAATAAGATATTTTGAAGAATGTTTTCAAACAATTTTGTTCACTTGGCTCTAAAACAACATTGGACTCCAATAACTTTCATTTTATGGATAAAAAAGGCACCGAAACAATTCAAAATATCTTTTTTGTTGGATGAAATTAAAAAATTGCAGGTTTGGAACGTCATGAGGGTGGTTAGATAAATGAATGAATATTCAGTTGGGAATATTTAATGTTTGACTGTAAGGTTAACTGTTCTTACTTTCACCTAAAGGAATATGAGGCAGATGCCTTACAAAGGCGTTTTTCAGGAGGTAGTCACTCCTATGGAGGGGAATCGCCACGACTGTCCCCATGTGGCAGCATCGGCATATTGAGCAGGTCAGATGAACAGCTGTCCTCTTTGGAGCAGGACAGTGGTCAGTGCTCTCGTAACACCAGCTGTGAGACTCTAGGTGAGTGTTTAAATCATGATTGGGAAAGCTACTTTGAAAGAGTAGCCTGTCAGGCTACACACCTCGAGTGGTTTAAATATACTGATGGAGTTTTATCTTGTCACCTTACTTACTTAGACACAGCAGAGAGCTACGACCCTGACTATGACTTCCTGCATCAGGACCTGTCTAGCATTGACCAGATCCCTCCTGCACACACAGGGGGTTGTCTGAGCCCGCTCCCCGAGTCTCACCACGAATCATCCTCCTCCCCTGTTCAGTTTCAGTCGATACCACCCGCTCTCCCGAAGAAGGAACGGCGACCCCCTCTGCCTCAGGTGGAACGACTGTACTCTCAATATGACAATGTTCCAGATGAGGACATGCAGACCCCACCCTTCCCCCTCTTCGCTTCAATGCCACCCTCGAACCCTGGAGAATTCATGGGAAACTTCGGGCCCGCTGAGAACACACAGATCCCTCAGAGCCCTCCACCCCTGCCGGAGAAGAAGAGTCGGCATAGTGAGTATGAGGAATTCAGATGTGCTGTTGGGAGGGTAGCAAATCACTGGGTTGTGGAACCGCTCTGACATGTAGCGCAAATGCGTCTGGTATTTTGGTCCTTTAGCATTCACATCCCCTTCTACTCTCCCTCTTTGCTTCCTGTCAATTCTCTGGATTGTCCTGTCCAAAACAAAGGCAAAAACAGCAGAAATGTTCTTAATTGTAGCAAAAAGGTTACATAAATTGTGAACCTCATTTAAAATATGTAGAAACTTAACTGACACATAAAATATTTAATTTGATTGAGGTGGAAAACAATAGGAGAAAGAACTGCTGGAAAGAACAAAAGAAATGTTTTAAAGGAAAAAAAGATTCCCTTCAGTCAAAACATTAATAATTAATAATAATAATACAAAAAACATAAACATCTCTCTCTGCTGTCAAAGCACTTTTTCGGAAGCTTGTTTCCGCCACTGAATAAAAAATAAAAAGCTAATTGCTTCTTTTTTTACGCAATTGCGAGTTTATATCTCACAATTCTGATTACCGTATTTTCTCGCAATTGCTAGTTATAAAGTCAGAATTGTGTGATAAAATTCGCAATTATCTTTTGTAGTATTTTATTCCAAGTAGTATACAAATTTCAAAGTCGAGATAGATCTTTTCTTCCGTTTTGTGTTGTACATTTGGTCACACTTGGTCCTATCTATCAGTTGTTGATTGGATGGAGGCGGATATTAATGCAAGCTTGCAGTCAGTTGTAAGAAAGGGGCGGGGTTTATGGTCAAATTGATTGGTGAAGTCTGGCATACATCAGCAAAAAGAAATTATTAGGTAAAAAAAACTGAAAAGATGAACCATATGCACAGTTGAATCAATCACATTAAGATTAGGAACATGGATTTAGAAAATAGCGTGATCTTTCTTTTCATGCCGACTTTAAAACAACATTTTCAAGTACTACGACCAAACAAGTAGTCTGAGCCCTGGCTTTTCTGTTTTTCTTCAGACTAAGCCGTTTTCACAGGTCACTAATTCCTTGTGTAATGTGTGCAATGTATGACGCAGTATGGCAAAGACAGTTTTTCACTCGTTTTTTTACTTGTAAAGCCCCTCAGTGTTGGATAGGGGTTGGGAAACAGTGATGTCACCTTTAGTTTGAGGTCGGATGGAATAATGCCTTTGTTGAAGAAATCTCTGACTGAATACAGTTCAAGGCCTCACCCAAGGCGGCAGGAAATGAGCTCTTGCTAGAAGACTCTTGTTTGGAGGGGAGGGGTTTTTGAATCATGTCATAATCCACACATGAAACGCATGGCTTGTCACAAGAGTTTATGTGAGTCCACACAAAGGATAGAATTTTTCTCTTTTAAAATTGATTTAAATTACAGTGACTGTTTATGTCCAATTTGTGTTTAAGCCTTTTGGTAACTGTCATATTCCATGTAGGACATGCACCCACTACAGTGTATATTAAAACATATTGGCCAAGATGCTTTTGTCCATCTGCATATTGATTTAAAAATATTCAATACATTTAAATATAAATAAATATATGTAAAAATAAATACATTTAAAAATTAATATTAATTTTAGTATAGTAATATTACGATTAATCAAATACTTTAAATTAATAATTTATATATTTTATTATATATACACTACCTTTCAAATGTTTGTGATCAGTAAGATTTATTAATGTTTTAAAAGAAGTATCTTATGCTCAACATGGTTGCATTTATTTAATAAAAAAACCCAGTAATGTTGTGAAATATTAATACAATTTTAAATAATAGTTTTCTATGTGAATAAATGTGTTAAAAAAATTAATTTAATCCTGTAATGGCAAAGCTGAATTTTCAGCATCATTACTTTCAGTGTCACATGATCCTTCAGAAATCATTCTAATATGCTGAGTCTTATTTTAAGACTTAATTAGTTCAATTTTGATTAATACATGCATATGCCTACTGTTTTATCCAGGTTCAGTCTAGTTATCAGAATATTGATAATCATCAGTATTCATTTACATAACGCATACAATATGGCCAAATTCCGATTAACTTCAGAATAAACAGAATAGAAGGCTGAACACACACCATGAATTACTCGTGAGGTAAAGTGTGAAGTGTCACACTCTCAGCTTCTCACGATCTCAGAGCCTCTTGGCATCCTAACCCTTGCCCTATTAATGCATGTGCTTGTGTTTAGCACCTGCGTGTTAATGTAACCCATGTACTTTTTGCCTCGTCTACCCGCAGTCCTGAAGTACATGCAGTTTATGGAGGACTATTCCGAGCCGCTGCCTTCCGTTTTCTACCAGACGCCGCAGAGCGAGAGCATTTATGAGCAGCGCAATAGGAAGCGCTTTCAGGAAGTGTATGGCCTCAGCGACTCGTTCAGCAGCAGTGACGAGACCCTCCCTCCACCAGCGCTGCCACCCAAACAGAGACAACTGGTGAGAGAGAGCTAGATCACTGCCCACACATGCTGTACACACTTTCTGTCTGTCTCATTCTCACCCTACCTAGATGTTCATGCAATGTTTTCCTTCGTACTGACAGTCACCGTTAATCACAATGGTAGCGGTATTATGTTTCCCATAGCGTCAGAGTATTACTTGTATCAGGTTGCTTATGGCACAGTATTCAAGTGTATTCATAAGTGAAGTTCAAGTGTCGCCTAAGGCGAACAGCGTCATCTATTTCCTCATTGTGTGTTGTGTGAACACGTCTGATGTTTATTCAGCTAAAGCCTGAGAGGAACATCGCGAATGTAGTAACTTCCTTCAAATCTTGCACTGTTCCTGGCTGTGTGTAGCACCTGCCGCTCTTTTTTTAGCGTTTAGAAACAATCGACTGAAGTTTATTTTTAACAAGGTCCCTGGTCATTTTTGTGACCCATTTCAGAAACTTGTTTTGTTTTTTGATCCTGTAATGCAGTTTTATAAAGAGGTTGATTTTGAAGGATGGGATGTTTTTATGTCAAAAATTATTAAATGTGTACAGGACCTACCGGAAGATTTGAAAACTTGAAAAGAGGCAGCAAGACACTGTATCTACTTTCACATGTAAAGAGGGAATTTACATGGAAGTCTTGAAGGCACAACAGAAATGGCTGTTAAATTCAAGGGTTAGAGAATGGACATGAATGTTTTGTTGCAAACATATTTTTTTATCAAGTTGATATAATATTGTACTTGTATTATACGTTTATAAGTGCGCAGCAAGGGAGAATTTTTTTATATGGTTATAAATGGGGTCAAATTCTCTCTCTCTCTCTCTCTCTCTCTCTCTCTCTCTCTCTCTCTCTCTCTCTCTCTCTCTCTCTATATATATATATATATATATATATATATATATATATATATATATATATATATATATATATATATATATACATATGTATAGTACATGTTTTTCATGGCTTCCAAACTGCCTTTTAAAGCAAGGAAAACAACTGTTTTAATGTTTTGTGCTATTCTTGCTTTTGTTCTCATTCTTGTCTTGCTAACCCATCTACCTCATTTCATTTGACTCGGTTTCCACTGTTTTTTCTCTCATTCCACGTGACTGAGCAGAAGGATTCACCAAGGTGTGTTGCTTAGAGCTTTGAGCTCAGGTATAAAGTAACCTTAAGTGCTATTAGCTATATTATGCACAAGTTTAGCCATCTATTTGTGCTTTTAGTCTTAGTAATTTCCTGTTTTTGTTCCCACGCTCTGATTAGCAAGCACAAGCAGTTACCAGGCAAAAAGTAGAAACCTTTGTCTCTCAATATTTTACAACTTCACTAGTCAATTATTTCACATAACGTTGCTCTTTCCTGCTGCACAGTAGACTTTTAGTCTGAGTAGATGAAAATAGCTTCCAGATAGGACTTTAAGGTCTTAGGTCACGTCTAATTTTCACAAACCATGTTTTAAAACGTTTCATTTGCGGCACATTTAATATCACATTTCTACTCTTGACTAAGGTCTATTTCTCCATTCAGCTCACATCTGCTCAGAAATCTACACTGTGCATGAATCTCTGGCCTTTTTTCTCTTCCTTCCTCCACTCTTCTCTTCCCTCTTAGGCTTCCTCACACTCTGCGTCTCCTTCCTCCTCCTCTTCCTCCTCTCTGTCATGTCAGCTGCAGCAGTGTGCGTCCGGGCCTGGCCCTGGTGAGACAGAAACCGCTCTCAGCCTTTCCGCATCTAACTCCTCTCTGAACCGCCAGGGCTCCCTGCCTGTCACTACGGTGAGTCCCGGCTGCCTTTCGCTGGCCTCTAACACGTTTTCCTTGTCTTTTTGTAACTAATAAAGTCTTTAATATCTTCTTAATATTAAAGAAACAGCAATGCTTGCAATCAGCAAAAGACTAGTGTTGATGTTTTAGGTAAGTTTAGGTTTTAGGAACCAATTGTAGAGGTTTAATTCTATGGCACAGCCTTGCAAGCACTGCAGTTATGATTCTGTAGTTTTTCAATTCATCTGCACATGCTGAGAAGTAGCACAAACATGCATACACTGCTGATTGTCTAATTATTGACTCTGTGTATGCGTGTGTGCCTGCGGCTACAAGAGGAAACATGTTCATAATAGCTCACATGAATCACAGGTGCTGTAGCCGGTAGGCAATGAATAGTTCACAGCCTCAATTAATGGTGGCACTGCCTCGTTAGGGTTCAGTGATTTCCCCCACGCCTCTAGTCTTCAGTGGCGGTGATCTAAAGATCGAAAGAGTCAAAGGCATGTACCACACGGGGGTCCTGCAACTGTGACCTGCGGAAAAGCTGAGGTTAAACACGCATCATCCCGCAGGGACCCGTTGGGTTTCCAGCTGTTAGATGACTGAGTTGCCTGTTATGATGTTGTCTGCTGAGCTGTATCCTCAACTGAATTACAGGGAACTCTTTTCAGTACCTCTAATTGGAAAAGTGACTACTAAATATAGGTGATCTGTTTCAAGGTTGATAGCTGGTTCTTTGTGTACCATTTCTTTGTATTATATATATGAGAGCGAGAGAGAGAGAGAAAGAGAGAGAAAGAGAAAGAGAGTGTTAAGAGACCACTGCAAATTTGTCTTAAATCAGCATCTCTACATGTATGGCTTCCATTCCAGTGTCTGTTGAATTCCAACACAGGCACACTGAATGAGGTGCTGGTTAGGTGATCACCTGAACCAAATCTTATTTAATGAGCAAAAGTATAAAAAAAACACTTCTGTGGTCATCACTATCCTCTTGCAAAAGGACCAGCTGGATGGCAAAAACAGTGCTAGTAGTACCTCAGAAGTAATTGGAATAAAAAAAATAACTATTGACCATGCCAAAAGAGTTGAAAAGGAAAGTTTTGAGTGAGGAAAAGAAGGGTTCAATTCTGGCTTTACTGGCAGAGGGATACAATGAGCGTCGGGTTGCTTCCATCCTTAAAATTTCAAAGATGGCGGGTCATAAGAACAAGGTCAAGCAGCAGACATTGGGGACAACAAAGCTACAGACCAGCAGAGACTGGCCAAGTGTTGAGGTGTCCATGAGCAAGACACTTAACCCCAGCTGCTCCCGACGAGCTGGATGGCGCCTTGTATGGCTGACACCGCAATCGGTGTATGAATGAGTGTATGAATGGGTGAATGTGAGGCAAACTGTAAAGCGCTTTGGTGGCCATTGGGTCTGTGAAAGCGCTATATAAATGCAGTACATTTACCATTTTACCATTTATATATATATATATACATATATATATATGGGAGTGGCAATGATTCAATGGATCAGTTATGAGATCAAATATTTATACACTACCGTTCAAAAGTTTGGGGTCGGTACGATTTTAAATACTTTTAAAAGAATTCTCTTCTGCTAACCATGGCTGCGCTTATTTGATTAAAAATACAACAAAAATCAGTTATAGTATTAAATATTATTCCAGTGTAAATCAGCTGTTTTCTGTGTGAATATATAGTAAAGTGTAATTTATTCCTGTGATCAAAGCTGAATTTTCAGCATCACCAGTGTCAGTGTCTTCAGTGTCAAATTATCCTTCACAAATCAGTATAATATGAGGATTTGATGCTCAAGAAACATTTATTATTATTATCAATGTTGAAACAGTTGTTGGTCTGTCAGTTGTACAGTTTTTTTTTTTTTTTTTTTTTTTTTTTTTTTTTTTTTAGGATTCTTTGATGAATAGGAAGTTCAAAAGAACAGCATTTGTTTGAAATAGAATCTTTTGTAACATTATACATGTCTTTACTGTCCTTGATAAATAAAAGTATTGATTTATTTCCTCCAAAAAATAAAAATAAAATTCTCACTGACCCCAAACTTTTGAACGGTAGTGTATATATACTTGATGATGATGATGATGATAGTAGTAGTTTTTTATTTTTATTGTTGCCGTTTTATTATTCTTTTAATATAATTAGATTATTATTATTATTAATAATAATTTATTTGTAATTATTTAAATCATGTTATAATATTATAATAAATATTACAATTAGAATAATTCTACCCAATATGTTTTAATTCTTGACACAATTATTTATAATAATAATAAAAATGTTATTTGTATAGCTCCTTTCATATAATAAATGCAGCTTAAAGTCCTTTACAAAAAAAGTAAAGGTCTTTTTTAATAGACCATAATTAATATAACATACAGTAAGATTACAAATAAAACCCACAATTGATGCAAAAGATAAAACCCATAATAATAAAATAAGATAAAATGTATATGCATACAGTGAAATGCATAACAGAATATGGATATTAAAACTAAGTAGTTAAAAGAACATGTATGAAAACAATACATATAATGCTTCAAAAAAGTGTTTGTTAAATGCTAAATTAAATAGATTTTTAGCATGCGTTTAAAATATTTTCACTTATAATAATCCACTATATCAAAAACAATAATGAGTAACTACTGCAATAATGGAATTGAGTTAAACAGAATCGAATTGAATTAAATAGAATTAAAATGAATTAAATTGAATTAAACGAAAACAAACTAAAAAAAATTGTAATCTACACCAAATTGTTAGAGAAAATATTTACTCTAGTGGACTCAACACTGGAAGCCTGCAGTTTGTTGTGACAGGAAACTGGACGGCTCACATCATAATTGATGAAGCTGTCGGCTCAAGAGTCTGACGTCGATACGCTTGTAATATATAGGCAGCAATGCGGATTATAATGGAAGCAATTGAGTTTCATTGCATGATGAATGTAGCCTGCTTCCAGTTTAGACACTGTGTGTTAGGATTATAAACGATATTATTTGGTGGAAGAATTGTTTATTCTGATAGTTATGAATAGATGTGATCGTATATTGAACATTTGATGTCTTCAACTTCATATAGTAATATCACTCTAATGCACAGCCTCTTGCCAAGTTTCCAGGCACCTATCATGCAGTACCTTGCTTTGCTACTAAGTGTCCTTTGATTTCAGGCCCACCCAAACAATAGTGGCTTTCTCTGAAAGTTTATTTCAGCTGTTTTTCAGCCTTGTGAGCATCAGCTCCAAACCACACCTTTACTCACCTTGACGCCTGCCAATGCTTGTGCTGTCCTCCCTCTTGTTTTCCTGTAGAGCGAAAGTGCTAATGATGAAGGTGGGGAGGGTGAATACGTCAATCTGTATTCATCCAACCAAGCCAATGGAGATGTGACTCTCTCCAATGGAGTAAGTAACAGCATGTCAGCGGTTGCAGCCGACATGCTGGTTCCTTCATGCTGCGCTTGTGCTGTTTGTGACTGTAATGCTTGGCTTTGCATCATACGACTGGTTAATTGTAAATTTTGCATAACATTTGCTGCCAAGACACAAGTGTCCAAAAGCAACAGACAAGAAATCTCTTGCATGTTAAGCTGAGTTTTGTCTTAACCAGCCATGATTGTCAATATCGCACTGTGCTGGGTGGCCCTGCCCACAGTAAAATTTCATTGGTTCAAAATTCTGCTCTATATGGCTAGATTTTAAATGTAGAGAATGTATTTTTGGGACTGTGCAGGATTTAGCATGTAGTATGGACAAAAAAAGGCCAGTAGTTTTTAGATGACTTTGTATGCAGACATTGTTGTGAAATCGAGTTACTCTGATAGAATTCAAGAACTGAAAAGAGGAATTGTTGACTTGATGATTGTATGCTTTTCAAAAATAAAACCTGCAATATAAGCAGTAGTTATTAAACCTCTTAACAGATCATCAGATTCATCCCAAAGTAGGACGCCCAATGTTACAGAAAGCGGAGTTATAATGTTAGTCACATCAGCATTGCATTTCTGCGATATGTAAATTAACATTGGCCTTGAATTATGGCATGGCTTAAAAAAACAGAACATGTACACATTTAAGATTTTTGCTCCAAAGCTATTAGCAACACATTTTCAACATTCTTTGAAAGTGGGAATAAATTAAATGAATTGTGTACAAACAATCAAAAAAAAAAAAAAAAACATTAATTGGTGAAACGAGGTAATTGCAGTGCAATATTTTGGTGTTTGCATTTGTGGATATTTTTTCTACAGAATATACATATCTAATATGTAAAGATAAAAAATGTGATGAAAAGTCACAAATACTGTAAGTATATTTTCTTCAGTTATGATTTGTGTTTGATTATAAATTAACAGCTTAGCACAAATGATTTATCTAACCTCATGTTTAATAATCACATCATGCATGTCGTGGGTTCTAAGAAACTTTCTGTAAAGCTGCTTTGAAAAATATTTATTGTGATGTATGTATATATATATATACACAAGTATTCATTTATTTGTACATTTTACATGTTGTGGGTCAGTAATGTTAAAAAAATAAATGAATACTTGTATTCAGCAAGCATGCATTATGTTGATCAAAAATGACAGTAAAGTCTTTTACATTGTTTCAGAAAGTGTCTATTTCAAATAAATGCTGATCTTTTAAATGTTATATTCATCAAAGAATCCTGAAAAAGTATCACAGTTTCCACAAAAATATTAAGAAGCACAACTGCTTTCAACAGTAATAATAATAAGAAATGTTTCTTGAGCAGCAAATCAGCATATTAGAATGATTTCTGCAGGATCATGTGACACTGAATACTGGAGTAATGATGCTGAAAATTCAGCTTTACCATCACAGGAATAAATTACATTTTAAAAATGTATTCAAATAGACAACAGTTATTTTACATTGTAATAATATTTTAAAATAAGAGTGTTTTTAATGTATTTTTGATCAAATAAATGCAGTCTTGGTGAGCATACGACATTAAAAAAATTTTTTGAGTGATTAAGTGATAGTGACTTCACTATATTGTAATGTGTCATCAATATGCCCCAATCTTGTGTTAAATCTTTTGTGAAATGCAGAACTATCACCTTGTGCTCTTCTCTTTATTTTGCATCTTATTCAGATATCTCGTTTTTCACCCCGTTGAATGGATGCAGTGATAGGCCTTGAATTATTTTTTCTGTCATTCCCAGGACTCTTCTTGTGGTGCTGAGGACTCACTCCAGGACTCAGAGTCAGAAAACAGTAAAGATCCGACCGACAGAGAGGGGTAACATTCATTTGCTTCAAAGCAATGCTTCAGCTCAAAACCTTGTATCCTCTCTTTAGTTGTTCATCTTTTGAAACAATTTCATACGTTTTGGTCTCCCACCATAAAAATGCAATTGCCTTCCATGTTTTGGACTTTTTGATTACCTATCCATCCTCTCATCCACAGCTGGAAGCAGAAGTGTGTAGACTCAGAGTTGACCTCAGAAGAGGTGGACGAGCTCTCCCTGATTGACCATGATGAGATCATGTCTCGCTTAACACTAAAGCAAGAGGTAAAACTTATGTGTAAGGTGTTGCATCTACTGCACGTGTAGCATGTCTCGCTTAACACTAAAGCAAGAGGTAATACTTATGTGCAAGGTGTTGCATCTACTGCACGTGTCCAGAAATGCCAAGTTTTACAAGTTTATAACTTGATTTACATTGGTTGTAATGATAGTTGAGTATTAGTGTGCTCTCTGCTGCCCTCTGCCTATGACTCAAAGCCTCTGCAGTGCCGCTGTGGTGAACCCCAGCATTGAAGTGCATGTGAAATACTGTTGTTCACACTGTAAGGTCAGACCTACTGCAGAGAGCATCTCCCCTGAAAGAATACATAAGTTAATAAGCGGACTACTCATACTCATAAGACAGGAAATGTATGACTCTAATGAGCTGGCTTGCTTTATCTTGTTCCAGTTTGTCTTTGAACACAAGAACATGCCTTGAAATGAAACATCCAGACATCTCAACATGTTTCTAATTGGGGTCAGTTGACCCTAATTATATAGGGCTTCCTAAAGTCCAACTGGTCACTGAGCCACTGACTAGTAGATTTTGAAAATATGATTTTGCACATCCCTCCAAGAAGTTAAATTTAGGAGCTGATTACATGAAAAGCTTTAACTTTGACCTGCTTGTTGAAAACCGCATAATCCTAATCTGTATTTCTCAGAACGATGACGGCCCTGATGTCAGAGCTGGATCAGGCGATATTTTATTAGTTCATGCCACCGAAACAGATCGCAAAGGTAAGAGTAATCCCTTCTAATCTTGGGGAGTCAGTTATTTTGTGTTCAATATTTATTTATACAACAGCAAATATGTTAAACTAGGGGATTCAAAATGTAGCTTTTTAAGTACCGTTCAAAAGTTTGGGGTCAGTATTTTTTTTTTTTTTTAAAAGCTTATACTTTTAATCAGGTAGAACACTTTAAAATGATCAAACGTAACAGTAAATGCTTTTATAATGTTACAGAAGATTTCTATTTTAAATGAAAAATGCTCTTTTGAACTTTCTATTCGTCAAAGAAAATTTTCTCATAAAAGTTTTTGAGTAGCACAACCGTTTTCAATTGATAATAAGAACTGTTTTTAAACACTAAATCATCATACTAGAATGATTTCTGAAGGATTATGTGACACTGAAGACTGACTTCAGCTTTGCCATCACATGAATAAATTACATTTTAAAATATATTCACACTATTACTGTTGTAGTGTATTTTTTATAGTTATTTATTATAGTTCACATTCCCAAATCTTGACCTAAAATTATGATTATATAAACATATCTTATGTTCTCTTTTGTAGATCGAGTTTTATACTGTGAAGCATTCTTGACCACATACCGAACATTTCTAACCCCAGAGGACCTCATTAAAAAGCTCCGCTATAGATATCCTTTCTGATGGTGGTAAATCTTTCAATCTTTGCATTCCTACCCTTTTTATTCTTATTAACCTTAACTCTGAACACATTTACCAGATTTTCTCTCAGCTCTGATATCATCAAACAACGATCTAGTAAAAACACCTTCTTCGTGCTGGTGCGCGTTGTGGACGAGCTTTGGTGAGCTGGAACTCAATTATGGGACATCAGATACACACTTTACAAACACAATTATATAAATATCTGAAGGCACTGATGCAGTTACTCCACACTATTTACTTGTCTAAAAAAACGACATAAATGTAAACATTTGACACAAAAATTCAGCAAACATAAACACTCAAATGTTAAAAAAATATTGTGCCCCACTAGCTAGTAGTTATTTACTGTTTCATGTTGCTAGTGACTTATGAAAGTGTTGTTGTTGCTTATGAATCATTATTTGAATAAAGACCCTTTTTTGTGTGTCATCAGTTTGGTGGAGCTGACAGAAGACATCTTGAAGCAGCTCATGGAGCTTGTGTTCAGTCTGTTGTGTAAGGGAGAGCTCACCCTGGCCCGTGTTCTGCGCAAGAACATCCTAGATAAAGTCCAACAGAAGAAGTTGCTGCAGTACACTAATTCCCTCAAAACACTGGCTGCGCGAGGTGTGGCTGCCAGGTAATGCCCACCTCAATCATGTTCTTTCAGTGTTTCTTTTAAGTGAATTTAATCGATTTTGACTATTTATTACCAGGCCCGGCACTCTGCATGACTTCCGTAGTCATGAGATCGCAGACCAGCTGACTCTCCTTGATGCGGAGCTGTTTTATAAGATAGAGGTACAGCTTCTCTAATGTCATTCATCACACCTCCTACCGAGAGTTTTCCAACACGTCTTTTATGTCTGTCTGCAGATCCCAGAGGTGTTACTTTGGGCAAAGGAACAGAATGAGGAAAAAAGCCCCAATCTGACCCAGTTTACAGAGCACTTCAACAACATGTCATACTGGTATGATGCTTTGATTCTCAAGCTAGCATAAAACCATCAACGTTTAAGAAAAGAAACGTCAGTAGTTTAAAGGACAAGTTTGGTATTTTACACTTGAAGCCCTGTTTCAAGATCATTTCTGATGAAATGGAACGGTTCAGATTAAAATTTGGACACATGCTGCTGTCCCGAGAAATTTCGGTTTCTGTGCAATCAACAAACAATCCTTCCTAAAACGCATTAAACTTTAGTTTACAAAGACGTTAAACTCACCGAGTGGTCTGGGGTGTTCACTGATATGCTCTGACAAAAATCGCTGCAAAAGATGCTTTCCAACAGGTTTTATCGTAGTTTTTGTTCAATTCAAGTCAAATGGAGTTGTTCACAAACTACGATAAAATTTCTCGGGACAGCAGCATGTGTCCAAATTTTAATCTTAACCGTTCTATTTCATCAGAAATTATCTTGAAACAGGGCTGTAAGTGTAAAATACCGAACTTGTCCTTTAAGGCCACGTTCACACATTATTAATTGCGACCGCAGGACCATTTAAAATAAACTAGTGAAGGCGATTAAAGTGGTGAAAAATAAATGGTGAACACTTACCTAAATGACACACGATTTCTTGATTGATTAATAAAAATCTTATGTTGATGGAGAAAAAAAATATTTATGGACGTGTTAATGAGTATACAGTACATTATATGTATTTTTATCTCTCTTTTTTAAGGGTTCGGTCCTTAATAATACTGCAGGAGAAAGCCCAGGATCGGGAAAAACTTCTTCTAAAATTCATCAAAATTATGAAGGTACAAACTAATTTAAATTATTCCTCTAAACTAAATTCTTCCAAATTGAAATCAATGATTTATTGGCTTGATTTCTATTACAAAATAACGTTAACCCATGGCCCTTTGTATTCTAGCACTTAAGAAAACTCAATAACTTCAACTCCTACTTGGCAATATTGTCAGCGTTGGATTCAGCGCCTATCAGAAGACTGGAATGGCAGAAGCAAACGTCAGAGGTAAATCACATCCATGCATCCCTGTCTCTTTTATTTTGGTTTTCAGCCGATCGTCATAGTACCTTATGTTATCTTTACAGGGTTTGGAGGAATATTGCACTTTAATTGACAGTTCCTCCTCCTTCCGGGCGTACAGAGCAGCTTTGGCGGATGTGGAGCCTCCGTGCATACCGTATCTGTAAGGACATGTTAAGCATTTAAAGTTGCCATGAAATGGAAGTTGCGATAGTCTTTTCTTTCCTTATTTTGATGTATGCCCGTGTAAAATGGCCTCTCAAACAAGAAAAAATGTAGGGCGGAACTTGAATTTGTCCATTGGGAATTCATTGGATGGTCGTGGTTTGCTATTGGTCAATCTCATGAGAGAGAGTAAATATGTCGCTGCAAGAGGGAGAGGAAGTTATTTTGATTATGAGACGCATGAATTTCTTTTTAAATATTGATGTGCACAGATAAATCATTTATAATAAATACTGCAATATTCCATAAAAACAAGAATTGTTGACTTTAAAGAAAAGATACACATTTTTATTGTAATTAAAATTTCATATTTTGTGCATAACTTCCCTATTTTTTCACAAAATGCAGAGGTCTCATCCTCCAGGACTTAACGTTTGTGCATCTTGGGAATCCAGACCTCATTAAAGGAAAGATAAACTTTTCCAAACGCTGGCAGCAGTTCAATATCCTGGACACTATGAGGCGCTTCCAGCAAGTGTGAGTACTTGGACAATATGAAGCATCATTCGCAAATCCATTTAACTTCCATAATCAGAGTGAAAACAAAATATTCAACAAAGTAAAAAATCTATTGGAACTGTATTGGATCGTGAAAAACTTGGCTATGGCATTATTGGTTCTTGGCGTTAACCGACAAAAATATATGTCTCCTAATTAGGATGGGAAAGAAAAATTTTAAACAGTTATCTATGGAAGTTTGTTTCCGCCACTGAATAAAGAAAAAAAAATAATAATTGTGACTTTTTATCTCACAATTGCCAGATATGAAGTCAGAATTGTGAGAAATAAAGTCGCAATTATGAGAAATAAAGTCGCAATTATGAGAAATAAAGTCGCAATTGCGAGAAAAAAAGATGGAATTGAGACTCGTAATTCTGACTTTATAACACATAATTGCGAGTTTATATCTCAAAATTCTGACATCTTTTCTCAGAATTGTGAGATTTAAACTCGCAATTGTGAGTTATCAGGCCAATTCTAAGGAAAAAAAGACTAACTTTTTTCCCCTCAGAATAGTTTATATCTCACAATTCTGACTTTACAACACGCAATTTCGACTTTATATCATGCATTTCTGACTTTATAACACGCATTTGCGACTTTATATCAATCAATTCTGACTTTATATCTCGCAATTCTGACTTTACAACCTGAAATTCTGACTTTATAACCTGCAATTGCAACTTTATATCAATCAATTCTGACTTTATATCTCGCAATTCTGACTTTATAACACGCAATTGTGAGAAAAAAAGTCAGAATTGTGAGATAAAAAGTCGCAATTACCTTTTTTATTTTTCGTTCTGTGGCGGAAACAAGCTTCCATAGTTATCAGCATTTTGTGTGACTTGTACTTCTCTTTCTTCCAGGCATTATGACCTCAAACACAACGACGATATTGTCTCCTTCTTCAACGACTTCAGTGACCATCTAGCTGAGGAGGCATTGTGGGAGCTTTCTTTGAAGATCAAGCCTCGCAACATCACTCGCCGGAAAACAGAACGAGAGGAAAAGACATAGCTCGCTCGGCTAGACGAACAAACTGCTTTTAAAAGCCACTCTCCGAACGAAGTTGCAAGATACAGCAATCAGAAGTTACTGTAATGGCAGCTACGAGACTGAAAACGATACTGTATTTCTGTTACAGTTTACATAAACTTTTTTTTTTTAAATGATTAGATTTTATTTTGTAATTGCACTGCGTCTGAACCTGTGTGTAAATTTGAAATGTGGAACAGTGCCGAGCGCAAAGACGGAAAACATGACTCTGATACATGAGATTACGGGGTTTACGGTCGTATCCTGGTGATATTCCGGTGCGGTCTCCCCATCTGGATGTTTGCGGTGCAAACTGGACAAACAACTGCGACTCCAACTGCAAACCAATACCACGATGCCTCGACGGGCACTTTGGATGTTGAAGTTCCTTCAAGACTGATATTCTTATTTATTTATTTTGTATGTAACAAATGCACATAGAGACTCTTTAGATTTAGGGGGATTGCTGTACGTTTAGCTGCTGGATTGAACAGCTTTAAGCATGTATGATAATAGGTCACGATGAGGACACACAGCCAGAGTTATTAATAGCACTATCAGGATTTTGTTGCTTATTCTGCAAGATTAACAGTATCTGCTTTAAAGCTTTTTTGGACTTTAGTTTCTGAATTCACTGAACTCTCAAAAATTCCTCAAACAGGAGCATGCCAGTTTAACGTGCATCGAGTTAAAAAAAAAACTACATCGTCATATCCTGTTTATAATAAATTCATACTTCTCATTACAGTAATTTGAGGCCTATTTCAAATCAGTTGCTTCCAATTACAGTTAATTGCTAATAATCAGGGAAACTCATTGTTTTGTTAAACCTCCTTGTTATTTATTTGTAAATTTATGTGCGTAGATTAACAATATACTTTGTATTACAAGATCACTTGCCATGGACGCCTGCTTTGCCAGTGTGGTTGTTGCAAGAAAGATTTTAGGAGTTGTGTTACAGCTGTATGTCTGGTACATTTAAATATTTTTCACTTTGCACACCAGTATGGAAAAAAATTTACCATAGATCTCCGAGAGCCATCGCATTGATCAAAGACCTACTATCAAGTGCTTGAAGCTGTTCATGAAGTGGTGTCAATGTGATTTTATTTTATATAATGCAGTTTTCCTTTTGTTTTTTAAAAGGATTTTACATGGAAATTTGCAGAGAGATTTACTCTGTTGTTGTGAGATGTGATCAAATGTGCACTTTGAAGTTGATTGTGGGAAACAAAGATTAAAAGCTGTTGGGTAACAGTTTTTAAGTGGACATGCATATGAGCCTGAACCCCTTCAACAACGCTTTCGGGGGAAACCTGTTCTTACCTGCAAATTGGACTGGAGTTGGTTTCAAAGTTCCAAAGACCCCAGACCACATTCATACTGTTTGAACACGATGATGATGATTCAGTTGCATATAAAATACAACTGACATGTACCTCTGTACACACATAACCCTGTGAAACCTGGTAAAAAATAATATACATATCATCAATGTCTTTGCTGTGTGTGTGTGTGGGATCCAGTTGTTCTGGTTAGGGGACAGCATAGAATAGAACAAAAAAAGCTGTGACAGTCATTAAAATCTGTGCGTGAATAAAGATAAGTTTGCATTTAAGTAATTTGTCATGTGAACAAAATTTTATTTTAAAAAAACGCATTAGTGATTTTCAATTGGGTCCATAGAAAGATGTTACAAACAAAAGTTCAAACTATTCTCTAACGTGTAAGGAGAAATCACTCATCTTTTTTCTTTTTTTACTTTATGCAGATTTTTGTGTCGTACTGTGTTTCGTAAAGATCACAATTAATATTATTTCCTATCATTATTTAGAAAGCATTTTTTTTTTAAATCCCCCCTAAAATTTTAAATTAATAGTGTTCAACACCAGTATGTCCAGTGTTTCAAAATGTCTCTTTCAGATCGAAGATCCTTGTAAACAACAACATTTGCCAAGTTCGGACTCCGGACACCTTTCGTTTGGCGAAAAAAAAATTCCTTCCGACTTTTATTTTGAAATTGCATCATTTCCTTCCGTTTAAAAAACTCTTCTCTTCAGAACTGCTGCATCTTCCGCTTTGTTGCTGCGTATCTATTAACTAGAATTTTTCTTCCAGATCGAAAGATAACCGATTGAAGATGAATGTGATCGATCATGTGCGGGATATGGCCGCGGCCGGACTGCACTCTAATGTCCGGATCATCAGTAGTTTACTCCTGACCATGAGCACCAACAACCCGTGAGTAGCTTCAGCTTTTTAGGATGTAAACAGATCTGGAAGCTGTCTGATGTGAAGTGTGTGTCTGCCAATACTGCCTTTAAAATGTAACGTTGTATTATATTAAATGCGCAGTATGCAGAAACAAGCTCATACGAAGTAAAAAATAATATTTTAAAAAAAAGTGTTAATGCATTATTTAAGACAGTAGAACAACAATTCACCATGTAACCATAGTTTTCCCAAAATACTTTAGTTATGGCTGTCATTTCGATAGCTAACATAGTTTTGGGGCATGTACTATAAAAAAAAAAAAAATGGGATCTCCTTTTAATTGTGTACGAAACCTCAAGAATATTTGTCATTTTTAAAATATCTTTGTAATAGATACCACGATGTTATTTTGGCAAAAACTATTTTTATTGTCTTGATACAATAGCCCATGTCTTGTTTTGTCATTTAACACCCAATTCCCCACTGATAAAATCAAGTTGTCAATGTCTCACTGAAATGCATCATGGCAATGTGTGCCAGTTTTAAGAGACGAAGCCAAATCCATAGAAGTGTGTGTTTCTCTCTTTCAGCGAGCTGTTCTCACCATCTCAGAAGTACCAGCTGCTGGTGTATCATGCTGATGCCATATTCCATGATAAAGAGTACAGGAACGCAGCCTGTAAGTACAACATGGCTTTACAGCAGAAGAAAGTGCTCAGTAAAACATCTAAAGTTCGTCCCTCCAGCACAGGCGGCACGACATCTGCAGTGCAGGCACAGGTGAGCTCCACCAAATGTAACACCATATGTACATTTTGAGCAAATTTTTCCAGCTGACTAATGAGTTTTTGGTCACTGAATGGCTTTTCTGAGGTAAATGTAACATTGCGTGACATGGCTCTTTTGTTGACGTCTTTCTGCGTTTGAAACACTGATTGGCCAATTACATGAGACATGATATGGATTTCGATAAGTTGTACTGTATCTGTCAACATACCTTCTGATGTTCGTTCATTTCGTTCTGTAACAAGTATATTACACTACTGTTCAAAAGTTTGGTGTCAGTAAGATTAAATGTTTTTGATAGAAGTCTATTATGCTCACCAAGGCTGCTTTAATTTGATTTGAAAAAAAAAAAAAAAATACAGTAAAACATGATATTGTGAAATATTGTTACATTTGATTATTTGATTGAGATTTTCAGCATTATTACTCCAGTCCTCAGTGTCACGTGATCCTTCAGAAAACATTCTAATATGTGGATTTGCTGCTCAAGAAACATTCTGCCACTTAATAGTTTTGGGGAAACCGTGATAATATATTCAATTTTTTTGATGAAAGGAAAGTTGAAAATAAGTGTATTTGCTGTGGCATTTAGGTGGAAATTATGGTTATCATGGTTTGGGTAATGGCTGCATTATTTCTAATGTTTATATCTGTTTAAATGAAGTTTTATTCTTGTTAACCAGCTCTGTGTTGATTAACTGCAGAACTTGCCATCAGAGATTGAAGTGAAATATAAAATCGCTGAGTGTTACATGATTCTGAAGCTGGATAAAGATGCCATATCAGTGCTGGATGGGATCCCTTCACGCCAGAGAACGCCAAAGGTGTGTTTTCACACTCGGTTGTTTACTTAACAATTATATGTGTGTGAATCTGTCAAGCTAACATTATCATTAACATCTAAAAAATGAAATAAAATAAAAGAGCACATTGTTTAACTGTTTGTGTTGTAATTACAGATCAACATGATGCTGGCGAATCTTTACAGAAAGGCCGGTCAGGAACGTTCAGCCGTTACGAGCTACAAGGAAGTGTTGAGACAGTGTCCTCTGGCTCTTGATGCCATTATTGGTCAGTAAGAATACAGCATCTTGTTTTTTCTTTGTCTTTAAAGTTCTCTGTGTGAGAGCCCAACATTAAAGCATCCTCCTGTGTGATCACTGCAGGGCTTCTGTCTCTGTCGGTGAAGGGGGCAGAGGTCGCTTCCATGACGATGGACGTGATTCAGAGCATCCCCAATCTTGATTGGCTGTCTGTCTGGATTAAAGCACATGCTTTCATACATGGAGGGGACAATCAGAGAGCGATCAACACTATCTGGTGAAGATTTGACACTGTGAATGAAACTAGGCTTTTCATGATTAAATCCACAATTTCAGTAAAGTAGACTTCTTAGCTGTTGATCGGACATTTTTTGTAGACATCTCTTTACATAAATGTTTTATATTAAATAAAAATTGTGTGACTTGTTATTAGCCAACACTGTCATCAATCAGTCAATCAATATATTTATGGTTATTATTGTTTATTAATATATTTGAGTTGACTGTTATTTGTAAAATTTTAGTTTTCTTTTTCATTTTAGTTTGTCGTTTTTTATAATTTTAAAAAATATATGTTTATTTTGTTTTTGTTTTAGTAGTTGTTTTATTTTAGTTAGTTGCCAAAGTATAATTTGATTTTCATAAAATTTCATCTTTATTTCAATTAACCAAGATGATTTTTATTAGGTTTAGTTAATAACAATTATTATATGTTGATTTTTAGATTTTCCATGTGAAAATGTTTGCAAAGTAATAGCCCACCTACAATTTGAGGCATCTTTCCTGTCTTCAGCACAGTCTTTGTTGACTTGTTCGTCTCTCCTCGCAGCTCTTTGGAGAAGAAGTCACTCTTGAGGGATAATGTGGATCTTTTAGTGACCCTGGCGGATGTGTACTTCAGGGCTGGAGACACCAAGAACTCCATCTTGAAGTTTGAGCAGGCGCAGATGCTTGACCCTTACCTGATCAAAGGTATGTGGCATTAACCAATAGTTGTATTGCCTGATGATTCTTGTTGGTTTGGATGAAAGCATCATGCTGTTTTGTAGGTATGGATGTATACGGCTATCTTATGGCCAGGGAGGGTCATCTAGAAGACGTGGAGGTTCTCGGAGGACGGCTGTTCAACATATCTGACCAGCATGCAGAGCCCTGGGTCATATCTGGGTGAGTTTGACCTTCTCCTAATAGGGCTTTTAACACCTTGAAATAGTTAACACTAGGTCATTCTAAACCCTGGATAGGAAGAATCCTGGGTTATCTTGCTTCACGTTTCACACTGCTCATAATTTACCCGGGGTTAACAATTAATTCTGGGTATTCATAAACTGCCGTTTCACACAGTACGTTCCTAAACCCTTGCATATTTGCGGTGTTAGTTTCATTCATTGGACGAACGCAGCATGTGACCTGTTTCCATAAAGGTTCTAGAATAGCACATCCTCATATTATGTATTGCTGACAGTACAGAAGGTTGAGCAGCGAGCTCATTGGCTACTGATACAGCAGGAACCAATCAGCAGTGCCCTATAGAGGATGATGTGATTACAAGCAGATTGAGTTAAGGACCTATTAGGCTGAACAGCCAGACTTTAATGACAGAACTTTGAATGTGTGAAACGCTCCTTTACCCAGGGTTAAAAGTGGGGTTTAGAACGACGATAACCCGGGGTTAAGCACAGTGTGAAAAGCCTTAAAGGATTAGTTTACTTAAAAAAAAACTTTTGCTGATAATTTACTCACCCCCATGTCATCCAAGATGTCCATGTCTTTCTTTCTTCAGTCGAAAAGAAAATAAGGTTTTTGATGAAAACATTCCAGGATTTTCCCCCATATAATGCACTTTACTGGGTACCAAACGGTTCAAGGTCCAAAAGACAGTTTCAGTGCAAACTGCAAACTGTTCAAATGGTTTTAAATGACACCAGACAATGAATAAGGGTCTTATCAAGCGAAACGATTGCTCATTTAAAAAAAAAAAAAAAAAAAAGTTTAAGTTTTATAAGCTCAAATGCTCGCCTTGCTCTGTTCTGTGTGACTCTCCTGTTCGAACTCGTTCATCAAAATGAACAAATCTTTTTCCGAGTCAATTCGTTCATTTCGGTCGTTAAATGAATCAAATGACTCGAAAAAAGATTTGTTCATTTTGATGAACGAGTTCGAACAGGAGAGTCACGAACGTGCATCACAGAACAGAGCAAGGCGAGCATTTGAGCTTATAAAACTTAAACTTTGTTATTTCTTTTTTAAATGAGCGATCGTTTCGCTTGATAAGACCCTTATTCATCGTCTGGAATCGTTTAAAGTAGGGGTGGGCGATATCTCGATATTTAAAATATATCGAGATATTTTTTAAACACGATATGGATTTTGACATATCGTATATATCGATATATTGTTTATATTTAATCCTGATTTCGCCACTTTGCTTGTTTGCCTTCTCTGTGCTGTGCTCGCCCCCGCCTCCTTGCTTTTGTTCCCCCTCACCTCGCGTGTTGTCTCATTCAACAATTGTCTCATCCGCAACCAGCCCGGAGGCTACAGAACTCCGAGTGTGTCTATGCGCGTCCGCGAGAGCGACAGAGCACGAGAGAAACCGAGTGTGAGCATTAATTGCATTAGTAAATTGGTAGCCTACATACTACAATATATAATTACTATATAAGAGGCATGGAAGTTCGATTAATGGACTCCAGTAATCAGAAGGCTACTACAAACGTCTTGTTTTAAACTATTGCAGGGCTCGAATTTCGGCGCGGGTATTGCGCATAATTCTAATCATTCCCGCAGGTCTCCCATTTATAATGCGGGAAATTCCCGCAATCGTAATCCACACAGATTATAAAATCAAATCATTCTTTTAACAACTATCTGCCAGACGCAATTTCACAAACAGCGTGAGTGTTCAGCGGTGCCGCTTCTTTCTCGTCTCTCATAATGTGTTGTGCAAGGCAAGCATCAAGAGCTGCGGCGATAAAACACACTCGCGTTTAGGAGTCGGGACATGATGGATATTCACTCGCACAATCGGGCCAGCAGTGCATCGTGACTGAAGTTTACCATTTGCACGTCTTTTTAAGTCTTACCAGTTTAAACATTCAAGCGATTTTAAACTAATCAGTGCTCGCGCGCTCTCTGAGAAATTATTTTCTGTGCGCACATTCATAGAAAATCCGCCTTAAGAACAGCTGGCCAGTAACAAAAGTTATTTTTCGCGGATTATATTGCTTTAACACGCAAAATTGTCAATTTCGGTCGTCGTGAGTATACTCTAAACATAGTCGGTTTTGTCTTTAATAAGCATAAAACGCATGCCAGTATAATGAACACAGGATCCGTGCACTACCTCTTAAAGTGACGGCAGCCATATGTGTGTCATTCATTTTGTTGTCAATACAACAAAAGATAGCTTTAAGTTAAAGGAATCAGGATTAATAACCTATGTATTTAATTTATTCAGGACTAAAATACTACTCAGTGTTATTTTCCATTTGATTACTTTATTCAGTTTCTGTATATGAATCACGTGATTAATAATGATGACGAAATTCAGGCCCTGTGTTTAATTTTTCTCATTTGGTTACATTCTGTTATGGAAAATTAATTTTCTATTGATTGTAGGCCTATATTTTGAGTTGTATTCACATCCATTTTCCTGTAAAGATATCGAGATATATATCGAATATCGAGATATAGCAAAATATATCGAGATATATTTTTTGCTCCATATCGCCCAGCCCTAGTTTAAAGCCATTTGAACAGTTTGCAGTTTGCACTGAAACTGTCTTTTGGACCTTGGACCGTTTGGTGCCCAGCAAAGTGCATTATACGGAGAAAAATCCTGGAATGTTTTCATCAAAAACCTTAATTTCTTTTCGACTGAAGAAAGAAAGACATGGACATCTTGGATGACATGGGGGTGAGTAAATTATCAGCAAAAGTTTTTTTAAAAGTGAACTACTCCTTTAATGTGTCTGAAACTTCTTCAGATTAAGAAGATGCTAAAAACTTTGTAAAAATTGTTGTTTTCCTCAGATGTCACAGCTTCTACAGTAAGCGCTACTCTCGCGCCCTCTATCTGGGAGCTAAAGCCATCCAGCTGAACAGCAACAGTGTGCAGGCGCTCCTCCTGAAGGGGGTCGCTCTGCGAAACATGGGCCGAGTGCAGGAAGCCATCATACACTTCAGAGAAGCCATGAGACTGGCGCCCTGTCGTCTGGACTGCTACGAAGGCAAGACACATCTCATGATAACAGGGATGCGTCCACATGCTCCACTACGTCGTCCATCAACCTACAAGTCGTTTAGTTGGCTAGCTCATTTTTGCCCCCATTTTTGTTATATTTTTGGTGGCGATGCTTTAAAGGGGAGGAATTAAGAGAAGCTAGTTCTCTGAGAGCATTTTAGCAAGCTTTAAAGTCAAAATGGAAATGACCATTTCTGTTCTCTAATGGTGCGTTCACGTGCTATGGTAATCATGGTAAATAATACCAAAAGCCGACGTGGAAAATGCACATGAACACCCCCTCATGTGGTATTTTCCACTGGGCAACTCGTAGAATATTTTGATGCACGAGTTGCCGAGATGAGGTCACCTTTGACCTTTTCAAAATGGCGGAGAGCAACGCGAGAGTCGTGAATGGTAAAAATATGTACTATTCATGATCTAGAAAATATACAGCATATTATTTACCGTTTGAGTTTTGATAAATCATTTTCTTGCTGTAGCAGATGACTTAAGCAATCTAAAATAGTTTTAGCTAAATAACAGGTCTGGATCTCCATCTTTTTACCACATTACGACAACAAAAGCACTTGAACGCAACACACTGGTAAATACCAGTTCACAAGTGGAAAATATCATATTTTCCATAGCACGTGAACGCACCATAAATGCGTGTTATTGATCTTGTTGTGATATATGTAGTTTTTATGTCTTTTTTTTTCAATGTAATTTTCAATTAAAATGTCCCAACCCGATCCTCCAGTGAAATGAATTCTCTCTGGTGACGTAAGCTAGACTTTCATTTATTAATCATTTAGTCCACCTAAGCCCCGCCCCCTTTAATCCGCAAAAAACCTGCCCTACACTTTTTCTTTTTTGATAATCAGTTTCACTCGGCTTCCTTTTCATCGTGACTTTAAAGAGATAGTTTACCTAAAAATGAATTCTGTCATTAAGTACTCGCCCTCATGTCGTTCTACAGAACACAAATGAAGAAATGAAATGAAATCTGAGCTTTCTGTCCCTCCACTGACAGCGACATAACTGACACTTTGACGCTTCATAAAGAGATCATAAAACTAATCCATATGAATTGAGCGGTTTAGTCCAAATTTTCCAAAGAGACACAATCACTATATACGATGAACAGATTGAATTCTGCTGGACAATAAAGTCTTTAACTTAAATTTATTCACATATAAACATTCATCAACTCGCACATCAGTTGTGGTAAACAGAAGCTCAAGCATGCAGACTTTGATAAAAGATTTCAGAGACCTAACCTATATTTGCTGAATCTCTGTTAGTTACTCTGTTGTGTTTTTTGATTTAGTGTGTCCTATTTTTGAATGTTGTATAAAGGTTAGTTGGACGAAGCCCACAGCTGTTTTAGTTTTTGCCCATGTTTTCAGGTCTGATTGACTGCTACCTTGCGTCTAATGGTATCCGGGAGGCTATGGGAATGGCTAACAATATTTACAAGACGCTGGGAGCGAACGCCCAAACTCTCACCATCCTGGCCACAGTGTGTCTGGAAGATCCCATGACCCAGGAGAAGGCCAAGACTCTGCTGGACAAAGCCCTCGCTCAGCGGCCCGACTATATCAAAGCTGTCGTGAAGAAAGCAGAGCTCCTCAGTATGTCAAAACTGTGCTCAGAAGAACTTATTTTATTTTGATTTACTTATTATTATCATTTTCTCTTTATTCATTATTTTTTTCTTTTGCTATTTATTATTATTTAATTATTTTTCTATTTCTTCTTAAATAGTTTTTATCTATTATTTTTCTATCAATTATATTATTCATTATTTTATTAGTATTTATTATTTATATATATATATATATATATATATATATATATAATTAATATTAATAATAATTAATAATCTTAGATTAAAATATATATATATATTTTTTTTATCTAATATTATTAATTATTATTAATATTAATTATAAATGATTGATCACTGATATTTTGGTGTATTGCAATGTAACACCTACTTTGTTTTCATTACAGGTCGAGAACAGAAGTACGAGGAAGGAATAGCACTTTTACGAAACACTTTAGCCAATCAGAGCGACTGCGTGCTGCACAGAATGCTGGGGGATTTTCTCGTAGCTGTTAATGACTATCAGGAGGCGATGGACCAGTACAGTATAGCGCTAAGGTAGCGTCATTTCCTCTCTACTGTACTTAACCTGAAACTCTAGCGTACCTGATCGTTCTATTCCTCCTCCGTAGCCTCGATCCAAACGACCAGAAGTCTCTGGAGGGCATGCAGAAGATGGAGAAGGAGGAAAGTCCCACGGACGCCACGGTGGAGCTGGACGGGGACGATATGGAGGGCAGCGGGGAGGAGGGAGACCTGGAGGGCAGCGACAGCGAGGCGGCGCAGTGGGCCGATCAGGAACAGTGGTTCGGCATGCAGTGACCCTCAACTAAAAGACTCTTAAGAGCTTGTGCACTTCAGACTTCAAAGAAAACATCCACACTTTTGCATTTTGATGTGTTTGAACAGAGAGATGCCGTAATGCTCACTGCTGCCCTCTGGTGGTGAGTCACAGACACAATCCAAATTTTCTTGTCCTCAGTTTTGTCATATCAAGAGATTTTAATTTTCAGGTATTGTCGGTATATAACTGGTCTCAGATGAGAATACAGCACAACTAGACTAACCAACACCAACATTACGACAAAGGAATGGGTGATCATATTTCAACATAACAATGCTGCCGACATTTGTCTAAATACACAATATTATTTTCTAACAATTTATTAACATTAATTAAATATCATGCTTCTCTTTTGTTGTTTGTACAGGACTAGTCAACTCTGCTGCTGGCCTCATTGTATTAATAAATGTGTCAAATCTGTAAATATTTTCCATGCTCTTTCAAGCCTTTTTTGGTTCCAGCACCAGTAAAAGTGAAGTTTGCTTCTGAAATGCCTCAGGAAATGAACCACAAAAAAAAAAAAAAAATCCTTTCCCAAGGACGTGTAGATAATCCTGTGGTTTTTTTCCCCCCTAATCTGGTGAATGTCATGAAAACATGTTCAAGTCCTCCAATGTAAAACACTTTTTTTTTTTGGTAAAAAATTAAGCCATTACAAATTCCACCCCATTTTTCATTACTGCAATGTCATTTTACATTGTTTACTGCTCATTCTCAATGTTTCCATTTCAATAATGCAGTGAGGCCTTTAATGATCCTTTTATTAGTGCAAAAGTAGTTTTGGTTTATTTTATGCAGTTCTTTTGGTTTTGGGGTGAATTTAACCCAGACATTTCTTGACAAGTTTTGTGAAATTTACCAGAGAATATAAGTGAGGCAATCATAAATTCAATTTCTGTAGCCTTATGTGATTTTTTTTTTTTTTTTTTTTTTTTTAATGTTTCTATATTGTGTAAATAAGACTTTTAAAATGTTTTGGAATTAAAATCATGGCATGAAAAAATGTGATGTGTTCAATTTTAGTAAATAGAATATTACTTTTACTAACCGTTGACAGTGCAAAGAAACAGCAGTGCAACCATGTAATATCATTTTATTAACCACAAGTCATTGTGATAATTACAACACTGATTCGGCAGCTCCTCCAGTTGTCATGGGAACTGCTGTAAAAGACCTCCTGTCTCTCAATGTCACACACACACACACCGAACACCTGAAATGTGCCTCGGCTTTAAAACATATTGCACATCCCTGCGCAAAGCAACAAGAACAATCATTTTTGGTTATTTTACATATCTCACAAAAGATTTAAGGGAAAATAAAAATGCCTTTTCCCACTAATGGCATCTTTCTCTCTTTTTGTCTTCAAATTAAATATTGCAGTGCTATACAAAAGTTTATCATAAGTAGACATGCACCATGAAAACTGCTGTAATGTTACATGTCAAGTGTTTTTTTTTATTTTCAGATCTGGGCTATCAGGTCTCAAATAAGCTGTTATTTTACCACTCGTAATGTTTGAACTTTTTCCTAAACTAATGCAAATTTGTACGTTTTAGCACAGTTGACATGCAGGCCTAGAAAGATGTGTGGAGCTGCTCAAAACAACATGCACTAAAGTCAAGAAAACCTCACAGGTTCTGCAAGGAATACAGAGAGCGGATTGGCTCAATCATCCCGAGCTGGAGAGAGAGAGAGAGAAAGACGTGAAAATAAGACATTTGATCAAAGAACTGAAGTACAAATCAAAAACACAAAAAGACGGTACACACAGAAATGTCGTCATGCAACTGCAATAGTCGTCACACGTGATTAATGGCCTCTTCAGAGCCGTTATATGGAGTTCCTATGTAAATGTAATGTGTGTATTACATCAGTCAGCAGCACAAACAAACACGAGCTTGTGATGGGGTGTATCATGAGTGTTGCAGAATTATGTGAGCAGTACACGCTCTTATGCACACGGGACAACACGATTAGTTTTAATACGTCGAATTTAATCATGCACGATGTCTGGTGATCACCTGCAGCAAGACACTTTTACAAGAGAACTGCTTTTTAAAAAATGGAAGAAAAAAACAGGACCCCTAGTGAATAAGTTGTGCCATTTACAGTTAAAGAGGTCTTTATCCAGCAACACTAGTTTACTAATATCAGGGCTTTCATCCCAGAATTCATCCTAGATATTATAATAAAAAAAAAGGATTTGTGCCCAGTTCATTTTCTCATATACCTAGTATATACACATATACATTACAGTAAAAAATAATTGATCTATAATATTATAATCTCTACACTGTCCCTATAAATACATCCAACACATGATAAAGTAAACAGCTTCAGAGAATGTGTTCAAAAACACAAGCTGTTAAAAAGAAAAATACGGAGAACAAGAGAACTGGTGCATTTGGCTAGTCTTCTATCAAGCAAAAATACACAATGAAAGCAACCGGCAGAACTGAGGTAGCTGCGATCTACTTAACACAGAGAGGAAATCATTTTGCTTCAAGCGAGGAGAGGAAACAGAAATGACATGGGTGACGTTACTGTAGAAAACATCTAAATATAACTCAAATGCACATTCGTTCTTTTTGGCCCAGCGGACTCAAAAGGCTATAAAGACATCTCGGAGCTGTGAGCCCAAAATATCCAAAGCAATCTGATAAATATTTCATCTCCCTGTTTCAAACAACCGAAAAAAGGTCATAAAGGGACCTGAGAAAATATACACCTTTAATTATAATAAAAAACATGAAATGTGCATAAAAATGGAATGTAAAAAATAAAAGGACATACTATTTTCTGACAGCAATATGCCATATTTGAGGATAAACATTATATCAAAATTCAAACAAGGCTTGGATGCATGTGCGAATGTGAACAGGTAAATCTTGGTGGTTAATGTTGCTTTTGTGGTTATTTGGAGTCACGTGTTAGCTTGACGGCAGCTCTGGGATCAGTCAGGAGGACCAGAACAGCTGGGTTATGTTAGTGTCTGTGCCGTACAGCCACACCACTAGAGGGAGTGTCAGAGCTACAAAGGGCCAGGAGACGCCCTCAGTGCATGCAGAGAGGGACCAGCCTCTCCTGTCGGGCTCCTGGTCCAGGTCTTTACCGGGCTCCAGGTAGTTCCTTGCCACGAATTTGAGCAGCTCGTCCAGGAGGATGACGGGCAATGAGATCTTCAGCACCATCATCCACTGGGTCACGTTCAGAGGGGTGATCTGGAAGATGACCTGTGTGTGGAGCAAACACAAGCATGGCATCAAACTTTCACAGCCAGTAGAACCCAGATGTAGGGCGGCACAAATAGCTCAAATAAATAATACTTAAAGGATTAGTTCACTTTTAAAAAAACTTTTGCTGATAATTTACTCACCCCCATGTCATCCAAGATGTCCATGTCTTTCTTTCTTCAGTCGAAAAGAAATTAAAGTTTTTGATGAAAACATTCCAGGATTTTTCTCCATATAATGCACTTTGCTGGGCACCAAACGGTTCAAGGTCTAAATGACCGTTTCAGTTCAGCTTCAAAGGGCTTTAAACGATACCAGACGATGAATAAGGGTCTTATCTAGAGAAACGATCGGTCATTTCAAAAATAAATAAAAAAGTTAAAGTTTTATAGGCACAAATGCTCGCCTTGCAAACTCTCCTGTTCGAACTTGTTCATTTTGATGAACGAGTCAATGACTCGAAAAAAGATTCGTTCATTTTGATGAACGAGTTCGAACAGGAGAGTTCGCAAGGCGAGCATTTGTGCCTATAAAACTTTAACTTTTTTATTTATTTTTGAAATGACAGATCGTTTCGCTAGATAATAATTCATTACATTTATATAGCGCTTTTCTAGGCACTCAAAGCGCTTCACATGGAAGGGGGAATCTCCTCAACCACCACCAATGTGCAGCATCCACTTGGATGATGCGACGGCAGCCATAGTGCGCCAGAACGCTCACCACACACCAGCTTACTGGTGGAGAGGAGACAGAGTGATGAAGCCAATCAGTGTATATATATATATATATGGGGATGATTAGGAGGCCATGATGGACAGAGGCCACTGGGCAAATTTGGCCAGGATGCCGGGGTTACACCCCTACTCTTTCGAAAGACATCCTGGGATTTTTAATGACCACAGAGAGTCAGGACCTCGGTTTAACGTCTCATCCGAAGGACGGTGCTCTTTGACAGTATAGTGTCCCCGTCACTACACTGGGGCGTTAGGACCCACACAGACCACAGGTGAGCACCCCCTGCTGGCCTCACTAACACCTCTTCCAGCAGCAACCTGGTTTTCTCAGAAGGTCTCCCATCCAGGTACTAACCAGGCTCAGCCCTGCTTAGCTTCAGTGGGCAACCAGTCTTGGGCTACAGGGTGATATGGCTGCTGAATAAGATAAGACCCTTATTCATCGTCTGGTATCGTTTAAAGCCCTTTGAAGCTGAACTGAAACGGTCATTTAGACCTTTGGCTACCATTGAAGTCCATTATATGGAGAAAAATCCTGGAATGTTTTCATCAAAAACATTAATTTCTCTTCGACTGAAGAAAGAAAGACATGGACATCTTGGATGACATGGGGGTGAGTAAATTATCAGCAAAAGTTTTTTAAAAAGTGAACTACTCCTTTAATGATTCAACAAAACAGTGATTTGACCTGCAATATCATAAACATTTAGCATCTCATATTGCTACAGCTTAAATATTAAAGCTAAAAGGATCCAAACCCAGACACTGAATCCAGACCAAAAACATTTCAGGCACAACCATCATTTTCAATAGGGTCTCACTCCTCTATTAACTCAGCTCAGACTCAGTTCCAAAAAAAGTTATGTTTCCATCCACCTATTTATATGCTTATTTTAGGATATCACATAAAAAATAAGCACTGAATGGCATGGAAGTTTCTTTCCGCCACTGAATAAAAAATAAAACAGGTAATCAAGTCAGAATTACGTGATATAAACTGACAATTGCAAGAAAAAAAGTCAGAATTGCGCATTTACTCCTCAAAGTGAAAGTGCAAACATCATTTAAATCACCATATCACATTTAGTTTTAGTAGTATATTTTATAAGAATTAACCATCTAAAACGCTTTGAATATGGATAGTGCACTAATAGAGAGAGAGGCGGGACATAGTGAGCACCAGGAGAGTGTGTCAT